TATTGATTTTGTATCCACTTATATATAACAAAATGACCAATGATAAACTTCAGGTTCTTATGTGGTTTTTTAATCTTATTGTATAACTCCTGATATCTTTCAGCAGTCATATCTAGTTAAAGGAATTTTACTAGTATTCATTTGATTATAATATTATTACATAATGTTTGAAAAAATGCATTCTCAATTCTAGAAAAGGACAGTATTTTACATTTATCTGCTTTTTGGTCTTACATCTTAATCAGGATAAGGAAATAACCTTTTTTATATACTTTGCTTGACTGAAAAGATAAGAAGTTAAAGGTTTCAGTTTGAAAAAATAATTACCTTTTTATTACCTAGGAAATTTAGTGCCCATCCCAATAGCCTCATAATTTTTTTGCTTCAATTATACTTAATTTGGTAAAGTGGAGGAGTCTATATCAGTAATTTCTTTTCTTTAATTAATGACATCATCAAAATATATTGCAATAGGCTGATCAGTGAGTTTATTGTTATGATCAAAAGCTTGCATAATCTGTGGATAGAAGAGTTTGTGCTTCTATTACATATATAAAAACAACATAAGGCAAAGGTTTAAAAGAATTTGAATAAGTCTCAAGATGGTTTTCCCTAAAACTATTTATAACTTCACTATTATAACAATCTATCCAAAAGATTTATCTTAAGATTTATTATTTTATTAAGTCATTGGAAGGAGTTACATTTTTATATTTTTACTTATAGGACTATTATATAATAATTATAGTTGTTCTAGTATTATATTATAAATAAATTGCTTTATGATTAACTAATTTTTTATTACCTCAGCCCATAGTTTTTTACCTTTTTTACACAAATGAATTGTTCATGTATTCTTTTATCTTGTAAAAAGTATGGTGATAGTCAGTAATTGATTGTTTCACATAAGATTTAGTCATATTATGAATATTGGTTACATAACTACAGTAAAAATTCTAAACTTTGTCTGACTTCTTTAATCTTTAACAATTTGATACAATCAATGGGGCTTGTTTACATCCTGCTACCAATGTGTTTCATGTCAACCAATAACTTTTTAAAAAAGCTATATCAATTTTGTGTCACTTTAAAATTCAAGGTCAAGCTAATATAGGTAAAATTCCTCAAAACTCTAAAAAATAAGCAACTCTAAGAGGATAGAAACAATAGGAAGAAAAGTTTTAAGGTTTGGGCTTTTATTCACTCATTTATCTACTGTATAAAACCTTTAGTTATACTTTTGCTTCAGAAGATAAGTTTTCAGTACTTACTATTGGTTTTTCTTCCTTTTAGAACTTTCTTACTATAGGTAAAAAGGGTGTTTCTTGACTTTTCTTGATTACTAGAAGTCAAGTTTTGTTTGAAAAGAAATATAAACAAAAGAGAGAAGTTGGTAAAGGATTCTTGAAGTTATTTTTTAAATTGTTTTAAGGAAAGTAATAGGACTTTATTAGCAAAAAAGTACAAAACTTTTTTGGGTATATCTTTTTTGTATATTGTTAAGAAATCAATGAAAGAGTTGAATATTTTAGTTTTATAAAATAATTTTTAATTAAAACAATTTATATTATTTAATATTATTTTAATTTTTTTTAAATTTATATATATATATATATTTTTTTTTAACCCACAATCATGCTACAATGGCATGTCTTTATTGAAAAATTGAAATGAATTTATAATATTTTACAGACTTTCACAAAGTAACTAACTTGTCTTCATATAAAAGTACTCTAAATCAGATTTTGGGAACAATATTTCACTCCCCTAATAGATTGGTAATAATCTCTATCTACTAGAATCATTGTCAACAGTTTGTTACTATAGATTGTTTGAAAACCAAAGAATTGCTAAGTTAAAAAAGGGGAAGGGGAAAAAAGAATTGGGAAAAGGTGACAATTCAAGATCCACAAAAAAAAAAATCCAAAAATAAAAACAACCTCTTCTCAAAAGAAATCTACCTGATTGGAATAGTTTTCTTATTTTACTTGAACCTCAGAAGAAATCTTCTTTTTCACTATCTGCGACATCGGATGAGTCAATCCAACTGGTTTTTTATTTAAGTAAGCACCGGATTGGAATATCTTAAGAAAAGCATTTAGACCTCAGCTTTTTTCTATTAAAGCTTTGTCACCACTTAAGAAACTTAAGTAAGAAATGGAGTTTGCAATCCATATTACCTATCGCTTGGTTTTTTGATATCACTAAAGTTTTTATTAAAGGACTTGAGCTTTTTGGAGGTAACCATTTCCAAAACCTTTTTTTCAATCATCAATGATGGCATTGAAGCATATAAATATGACCAATAGAAGCTTGTTTACATTTCAAAAACTAATGTGTTTTATGTCAACCAATCATCTTTGGTGAGAATTTGTGCTATCAAAAATTCAGGATCAAACTGAGGTAGATAAAATTCTCCAGAAAATCATAAAAACGATAGCTCTAAGAGGCCCCAAGTGATTGGAAGGGGAAAAATAAGCCTTTTTATCATAAAAAATCTCTATATATCTCTTGCTTTAAAGATTAAATAGGTCTTCAAGTACTTCACAATTAGTTCTTCTTCCTTTGAAAACTTTCTTACTATTAGTATCAAAGGTGTTACTTGACTTTTCTTGATCACTAGAAGTCAAGTTTTTGAGTGAAAAGGTTTATAAACAAAAGAGAAAGGATAAAGGTGACTCTTGAAGTTATATTTCAAGTTGTTTTAATGAAAGTATTAAGACTTTATTAACAAAGAAGTATAGAAACTTCTTGTGAACATCTTTTTTGTGTGTAGTCAGAGGATTAGCAGAAAGAGTTTCATTGTGAATGACTAATATGTGTTTCTTTTTTTATAAATTTAATATACTGTAGGTACAATTTTATTCATATCTTTTTCTTTATACATTACTATATTTTTTTTGAACTTGGCCATTTCTGATAAAAATATTTACTGATATTTAACAATATCTTCTCTCTTATGTCCATCATAATATATTTCTTATTTGTGTTATTGATAATAATATCCAAGAATATTTAACTATTGATATGTCATTCTTGAACTAATTATTTTGTTGATTCCTATTTCTGATAATAATAATTCTTGAATAAATTCTTTGAATCAATATAGTGTTATATAGCTGTTTTTTATGTGAATTCATATATAATATCTTTTTACTATATTTTTATCATCAATTATTCTACTAAGTTTTTAATATTTTCCTTAATATAATATAAACAATATATAATTGTTATATCAATACTTTGCTATCTTTCAAACTTAGGTAACTGTACACTTATGCTCATTGTTATACACTCTTTTACTGTTTCAATACTTGCCTTCATTTTTTTTCTATTTTTTAATAAACACACGAAGTACTCAAATATAATTCTCATTTTAACATACTTTTGTACTAACATATCATTGAAATTTTTTTCTAAATCTTTTTTTAAACTTACAATATCATTTTTTGATAGTAAAACAAACTCTTTATTTGATAAATCATTTTGTACTGATTCAATTTACTAATTATTCTCAATAGCTACTTGATTAAAAAACCTCTCTAATTTTGAACTTCACTTTGCTGCTGCTATCTATAAACTACTTGGGTCTCATTTATTATAGTATATTAATTTTGATATTTTCCTTATGTTATAAGAACCATATTCACTTTTTTATAAACTTGCATTCACTCTTCACTTCAGCCAAAGATTATTTTTTGAAAGCCTGTCCCGAATATCTTGTTCTATTATTAAATTAACATCACTTCCTTAATTACTTATCTCATCATTTTTTTAAAATTTTTTACCTGATAAATCGTTACTCATCTGATCTTCATTAATTCGAATGTGCTTGATTCTATATCTATCAAGTTAAGTTCACCTTTTTTAATAAATTTGTCTCTCTTATCTCAAAACACTTGTTTATATGTAGCTTTTTTTTTATTTAGTTGAGATATAATAAAACATTAAAAAATATTACAAGAGACAATAATATTAAACTTTCATTTTATTGGATAATGAAATGTCACTCAAATAGTTATACAAATTGAATATTCAAATTTTTTATTTTTTTATTAAGAAACTTAAAAAAAACTTAAAAAAACTATTGCTTTTCAAATATTTAAAACTTGAAATTTTTTTAATTAATTAAAAATTTTAAACCATAACTTTTATTCTATTTCATCTGCTCTATCATTCTTATGGATTAGTTTTTTTTTAAATCCTTTAATATAAAAACTTTAGGATTTTGAAAGTCTGATATTTTATTTTGAATTTTAGATGTTTTGCACTATATCAATTTTTTTGCTAAATTTTTTATCACAGTATGCAAAAATTTTTTTTGTCACAGTATGCAAAATTTTTTTTTGTCACAATATTGCCAAATTTTGTGCTAAATTTTTTTTCACAGTATGTCAATATTTTTTACCAATTTTTTGCCAATATTTTAAATTCCAAGTGACAGTAATCATAAATAATTTGTTAATCTTTTTATTATTAATTTTTGCAATAATTTGACATATTTCGACTAGTAATCTACTATTAATAATAATTCTAATATTAAAAATCAAGTAAACCTGATTTCGAATACTTAATTGAGACTTAGTTTTGTTTAATCCAAATTAATTTAATGGATTTCTTATATTTTTTTATAATGTAACTCTTCCATAATATACAAAGACAAGTTAGTCGTCATGTGAAAATCCATAGCTTACACTTAATATTTCAATAAAGATATGCCGTGATGGCATGATTGCGGATAAAAAAAAAATAATTAGGTTTATTATTATTTTTTTTTCATATCAATATTTATGTTCTTCAAGTTACATACATACTGACCTGGCTTAAAGAGTTATCATAAAAAAAGTTAGGCGGTTCAGGGACCTGAATCGTGATCCCTGAATTCGGTTAAGGTGGCAATTTCACAGGTTAAGATCGACTTTGTTGTCGATCATGTGATTATTACACACGTGGTTGATTGTACAAAATCACATCAAATTTCCTTCTCGTTAAGACAAAACATGGCTACAGAAATTGTAGATCGTCTTGAAAACAACTCTGAAAACGTTCCAAGGTAACCGTCCAGTAGAATTCAAACGTTCGTTTACATTGGAAAGACTGATAAATTTATGATTCATGTATAGTCAAACCGTTGTGACTTCGAGCATCGTGATTCCTTCTACCTCTATCGTGAGATCTGGACGTCAAGATTCTTTGCCAAAACGACGAGCTAGTGGCGATCTATCTCGGCAGAGTACAGAGGAAGTAAGAATTTTTCCGATTTCTCCTCAGTAGTGCTCTAACGGGTGTAATGAGAATATTTTTCCTAATGAATTCTGGATCTAGTCCAAACGACCAAGGTTGGACACGAAAGATGCTGAAGTAAAGAAGCGAGGACAAAGACTCTTTGGCGTAATTAATGGTACTTTAACAAAATTTAAAAATGAAAGTCAAAATAAAACAGAGGCTGTAGGTACAGTTTTTTCGAGTAATTAGAATTGATATATATGATTTTTTCAACTATCTCTTTAATCATTTAGGAGATCAAACGTGATCAGATTGTTCAAAAAACTCAAGAAAAATTAAAGAAAGATCATGAAGAGTTGGTGAATCAGATGAAAACGGAGGAACAAGAACGAAGAGAGAGAATCGCCCGAGAGAAAAGAGAGGCAGAAGAGCGAAGAAATAGAGAATTGGTTTGTATACGATGCGCATTAAGAAATACATTCTTATATTTTATGGCTAAACAAAAATTTTGGGAATCAGCGAGAATGTTGGTCGACGCAAAAAAAGAATCTAGCGAACTTTCTCCGTACTAGTACGGAACCATCGCTTTACTACCTTCCCGCTAAAATTTCCCAACCAATGGTCGAAACAATAGCAAGGCAGAAAAGACAAATAGTATTGGAATCAACCTCTTCTATATCTCATGATATCATGGTTACAGGGGAGGTTCGTAACGACAGCAGAGATGTTGAAATGACCGAACACAATGATAGTGAGAAACACACGGAAGCACTTAAGCAGAATGAAGTAGAAACTGATCGACCTGAAGTAAAAAAAGAGAGCATTAAAAATGATGACAGTGCACAATCAACATTAGCGACCGAACGTATGGCTGTTGACGAAGAACGTTCCGCCGTTATTAAAATTGAAGAATCTGTTATAAAAGATGAACCTACTGACAGCAAGGACGATCCCGTGGAATATTAAAATTCATATTAGGTGTGTATCATCCAATTTGTATTTCGTTTATTTGCTCGTGCTTTCTTTCAATTTTAATTGGTGGAAATTCGCAATAAAGTAATTCTCGATAAGAAGAATTTTTAATAGTAAAATGAGATTCAATTAATCCTCCTTTGAGTTTTCAGCATTTCGTAGAGTATCTTTGATTTCTTTATTATTATTTTATATATATATGATTATTTTAGGAACCCCCATAGAGGATTGCAAGTCATTATGGTCTTTATTTTAATTTTTTTACATAATTTCATTTTCATGTATTATTATTGTACGTATGGAAAGAACATTAAAACAGTTAAGAAAAATGTCTGGCGTGATCTTATGTCCCGTGTCGTGACAGGATTTTGCGTGACGTTTTAGAAACGTGCTGCACCGGGTAAAGCCGATCCATCCTATATTTAGACGCTTTCTTTCGTGTCACATTTGGAGGCAAAATAAATACACATATACTGTACATATATTTGGTTCATCTAAATATCCACCTAATCACTCTTTGACGACCTCTACCGCTTCAAACGAACTAAACCTGTGCCACTCAAGAGTCTCTAGAAATAGTTCGACGTTGATTCTAAAATGGTAAATTTTATTCCAACAACGACTGAGGCAACTTCGGGTGGCGCAAAAAAAGTCGAAGAGAGTACGCTTGAAAATGCCGAGGAATTGGTGAAATCTGGTAATAAATTAGAAAAATTTTGATTTAAAAACAACCATTTCCCGCATCAATTCCTTATCAAACTCGGTATTATCAGATAGAGAGATTTTCGTAGCGGAGATTGTTTCTGTTGAAGCAGTTAAAACCTTCTTTTCGAGGACATCAAAGAAGGTCATTTTTGCTGCAAATCTAGTTATCTTGTTCGCGTGGAAATATCTGTCGATGTCATCTTTATTTTTACTCGGCCTTGGGTGTGTATTTGGTTATATTCTGAGAAATTCGGTCGCAAATCAATCTAAGGAAAGATTTGTGGCGGTGCAAGAACCATATTTACGTCAAAATTGTCAAAATTCACGACAGGTGACATATTATTATCTGTACATTTTTACACCTATAACGCATAATGCACAACGCATGTGTATATATATAGACATTAAAATTGGTCATCTTCCAAACAGCTGATCCTGTCCACCGAAAAGTTCACCTCGTCGGAACTTAAGATTACTCCACGCATTGAAGAGTCACTTAACCAAATATATGATTACATAATTCGCGATATAGTCGACTTTTATTATGATCCGATAAATCCTAACAAAGATTCAGAGTTATCTACGCAAGTACGCAATGCCATGAACGTCATGGCAATGAATTTGGCCACTTGCCTACAGAATTCGGATAAGGTTGAATTGGGACTTATGTCAGGTTTTGCGATAGCAAACACATTCATTGTACACTTGGTATGTATTTATTTGAGAGGTAAGATGGAACATATACACTAGTTACCGGATGCCATCTAATATAAGTCTAACGGCGTATTTTTTTTTTTTAAAAAAAAAAAAAAAATATATATATATATATCTATATTTTTAAAGCGCGAATATAGAAAATTTATTGTTACAAATAGGCCTCTGGATGCTTACTGTAAAGAAAATCAATCTTCCCTTTTTGCGCACACAACAAATAGAGAGTCACAAGCTCAAACTCTTCGTTCCCTGGCACAATTATTATTTTCACGTCTCTTGCCTCCAACGGAATCACAAAGTCTTATTCTGATGGCATTTCTTTCCGAATTATTGGCAACGCAGATTTTTGAGATTGCACTTGAAACTGTGTGTGATCAAGATTGGATAAATCGGACGATCGTTGATTATTTGACAGAGGACGATCCAGACGAAACTCACGATGCCACCTTGTTTCAGCAATTGACCACCACCATAGATGAAGAGGTAGCCGGTCTGGCGAAAAAATTAAAACAACCGCGGGGCACAGATGATCAATCGGAAACGATGCTTGACGGATTGAATAATCATAATCTGAACATATCACTTTTGTCATCCCAATCGAACTTACTCCTAGATTCAAGTTCAGAAGTAAATTATGAAGAGTCAAAATCGACGGAGATTTATCCGAATCTTGTCTCGTCGCCTTTTCCTCCTAATCGCCCTTTCGCAAGATCTGCTAATTCAATCAATCTGCAAATAATCCTCGAGCGGCAATCAGAGATATTCGCCGAATTTATGGCTTTTCTCGAAGAACGCAATGCGGCTAACTTATTACGATTTTGGCTCCAGGCGGACTCATTTAGAAAGATTGCATCCTATGAATCAGACATAAATTTAATTCAGGAGGACGCCTTGGGAATATTTAAGGCATACTTTGGTGAAGCCGCAACGTATCCTGTGAAGGTGGTCAGTGAGGGTGTAGTTAAAAAGTGCATTCGGGAAATTCTAAAGGCCCCAACTTGCAATTGTTTTGTTATAACGCAGGAGTATGTGTTTAGAGTATTACAAGATGAGTATTTTGATGATTTTGTTAAGGTGATGAAAGAACAAGGAGAAGATATGAGTTTCATGGTAAGTGATCAAGTGACACAATATAAAGAGACGGAACAACATGCAGAAGTTGGATCAAACCCTTCATTAAACGTGAGGCAACAAGAAGAGGTCAAGTCGATCTCTTCACCGAATATGCACCAGAACGGTGATGGTGATTTCCATCAATCTTATTATACAATGGATGACCCCGTTTTTGAATCCAATTCGAATGAACAGGATGCTTTTGAGAATTCGGTTAAGGATGAACACTCGCCGCAAAATTCGGAAGAATCGGGAAATTGGTCCGCGGCAATCTTAATGGGAGCTCTAGATGAGGTCACCGAAAATTCAATGCTAGAAAATTCCGTTGATACGATGCTCGAAGGAGAAAATATGGAGCAAGAGAATGATTTCGAATCACAATTCGAGCGTCAGAAAACATCAATGATGGATCTCGATGGAGTGCGAATAAAGATGACTGATGTATCAGAATCCTCACCCAACAAATATATTTATTCTACAAAGTCTCTGGCCTATATGATTGAAGTTGAACAGCCTGGCTCAACCGGGTGGATCATGACTCGGAGATTTGCCGATTTTGAGAAAATGCATTCGTCTCTAGTAAAAGCCTTTCCAAAAGCAGAAAAAGTAACTATGCCTCGCCTTATGTTAAAGAAGAATCAAGAAGCTTGCAAGTCACTGGAACGATATTTGAACATATTGTTGAGTGATGCCTCACTGTGTGAGAGTGAGCCACTCCAAAAGTTTATGAAAAGAGATGGACTACCGAACGAGAAACTGGAAAAGTCAAAAAGTTCAAGGAGGGCACTATCGATTTTGTCCGTTTCAAAATCGATGTCAATGTCAAATCTCGTGGGCGTTGTCACGGCCTCGGCCTCAAGTTCGCACTATGAAACAAAAAACCATCAAGAGTCGCCATCATCAACAAAAGATAGCTTTGAAGAATCCTCACCCGAAAAGTCTTTTGACGCCTCGTCCAAAAGATCCTCGGATAGTTCCCTTCAAAAAGATTTGGAAATAGTTTCATCCCCTACGGAAATCACTCAGGCAACTTCTGACGAAACTCTTGTCAAGACCCCAACATCGGCTAGTGCAACTATTACTCGGCAAAGCATTGAGAGTGCCATTTCTACATCTTGGGGATCGAGTAGAACCGTGACGCCAACGATATCCAATGAAATTAGCACCTCTCCGACAGTTGCGAACGATAAATCGACTTTAGAGAGATTGAGAATGCATTTGGGTATCTCCCATACCACGGAATCACCATCAAATTCTGCAATTATGGGTCGATCTCCTCCCGAACAGAGTTCGCGGCCAAATAAACAGTTGACAGCTCAGGACACTGACCTTTTGATCGACACAATTTTTGCTGTAGTTGAGGAAATATTCGATTTGTCGGAAAAATCTCAGTGGCATCTCCGAAGAACAGTCCTTTCAGTGTTACGTGGAGTCGTACGAAGGTCTTATACCGAAGCAATAAAAAATTCATTTCTAACGACCATCAGTTCATTTTCTACTGAAACTCATTGGGTAACGATGATTGATAATTTGTCAAATTCATTTTGGCCGAATGGAGAGTGGTCCAATGATATGGAGCAAAGATCAGAAGAAGAAAAATTGAAGACCAAGGAAGAAGCCAAAAGATTGCTTCTACAAAAGGTTCTACCCGATTCCTTGAAGCAAGTCATGGGCTATGAAAATTCTCGTCTGATGGTTGGAAGACTGGTCGATGGATTTTTGGCCGAGAAGGAGGTCGTGAGGGGAATGGGGATCAACATATTGGAAGGCGTGGTGAAACTTATTGTTTCAGAATGAATATGCTTCTGATAAAGTTGCATAGAGATTCCCAACACTGTAGATATGCGCATTATTTATGATATGGAAGATTT